ATGTATGTATATATATATATATATACCAGTCTTTGTTCTTTCGAGCTTCAACAAGGTTGGCCACGGCTTTACTAATACTGCTGTTAACTCACTTGATGTTTTGGTTGATGATGTAATAACTCAAGTCATCAGTTTAATCTTGTGTGTTATTGACTCGAGAACGCTTTCTGTAGAAAACTAATAACATTCTGTAATGAAAAGAAGGAAACTCCCACGATTGGCCCATTTATCCGGTAACAGAAACATTCGTCTCATGTTGGTTTATCATGAAATCTCTGCTCATACTGGAAGTGATCACTGTTGACCGAGACAACGACAGACCGAGGTCAATGATTAACAGAGGAGCACTAATTAAAATACTATTATTACCTAAAGAAATGTGGCCTTCATATTTAAACCATAATTCAAATAGTAACTGAACAGAAGCAGCCAGCAGAGGGCAGCACATACATGAATGACTTTGCTCATATCAATGAGGAATGAGTCAGCAGTAACTCTCTCTGACCTCCTGCAGTTGTATTAATACACACGGAGATGCACCAGACTCTGTTAGTATTAGTGTTACATTATTTAATTGGACAAACTGAATCAAGTTAGCTGATCTCTCACATTTAAGTTCATTTAAACTCAATGAACTGATGTTCCACTCACCAGGTCAGTGACCGTCTCTCTCGTCTCCCTGACTTTCTCCTCCAGGTCCAGGTTCCTCTCTGTCAGCATCTCCACCATCTCCTCCGCCCCCAAGGCTGCATCCACCTGAGACAAAGCACCTCATCCTCATCATCATCCTCATCATCCTCCTCCTGGCGGCCTGCAGACTGATTGATGTCACTGCAGCAGCTCAGAAGCACTGACCTGTTCTTTGAGCTCGTCGATGGTCTTTTCTGCCACTGTCATCTCCTCCTGTAGCTTCTCCTTCTGGCTCCTCTGAGTGTCCAGCTCCACGTTCTTCTTCTCCATCTGCTTCTGCAGCTTCACATGTTCCTGCTTCTCCGACGACGACAGGTCACGCATCCTGCAACACAGAGAAGACAGACCATTGAGACCATTGAGACCATTGAGACCATTAAAGACCATTAAAGACCATTAAGACCTGGATGAAGAAGAAGCTTCCAAACCTTTTGTATTAAAGGAAACACTGGAATCCACATTCTACGTCTACTACACTGCAGAACAGAAAATATACAAAAACCCTGAGAGGCAAGTGAGAAAGAGAACTTCAGGTGATCCATCTTCTAACTTTCTCTTCTGTTGTTATGACTTAAAGGATGTACGGATGCTTGAAGTGGGGTTGAATGAAGCACGGGGTCAACAGCAACACCTAAGAACATCAACTATTTATAAAACAGACTGGTGCACTTCAGCCCCCTGTGGCCAACACGAGTATTACATAAACAAAGCTTACATTTTCTTCCACCTGTTTCACAGACAGATGAACCTAAAGAATGAAAAATGATCCTGTTCTTCAGTCACAACCACAGTTAGGATCAGACTTCTCATCTCATCTCACTGCTGGTTGATCAGATATGAAGATCATGTCTTGTTTGATTGCTTGTGTTTCTGTTAAGATCTCAACCTTTCTGATCCCGATTCACTGTCAACTTAAATGAAGCAACACACACCTGACCAGAGCTTCCTTCAGCCTCCCGTTCTGCTCCTCCAGCTGCTTCACATGGTAACTGGACGCAGCACCATCCGAACCTGTGAGGAACACAGAGAACACAGCTGAGCTCTGCAGCATCCTGCGGGATTTATTCAACTCTTTTCTGCAGCAGAAAATAATTCATCCGTTGTTGATTCCACCTTGAAACTTCTGATTCCAACATGCAGTAAATCATTTCATTTAGTTCCCTTCTGTTCAGAGAATGTTCAGCCTGTTTTAGGCCTTAATTATTCAAACTTTAAGTATCAAAGCAGAAAGAAAAGCCAGTGCTGCCTTAATGAAAGTGTTGAGAGGTGACTCCCGTCAGTGCAGGGTTCACAATGTGGAGCACAGATAACTGAACGTCTCAGCCCCACCTTTCTCCTCGATCTCGTGCTTGAGGATCTCCAGGTCCATGGTGAGCTCGTCCACTTTCTCCTTGTGGGAGTCGACCTCCAGCTGCAGAGACTCCGCCCTCTCCTCGGCCATCTCCTTATCCAGCGTGGCCATCTCGATGGCGTCCGCTGTGTCCGACATCTCCTCCATGTAATGCTCCTTGGCCTCCAGGGCTTCCTTTGCCTCCTACACACAGATCATTATGTTAGTTAGTTAGTTATTGTCCATAGAGTCGCAATACAATCTTTAACACCTGCAAGGAAATGTTTCTCTCTTTGTGCATTATTTCACTTCATTGCTCGTTTGTGTCTTTAAATGAAGTGAATTCTTCATTTACAGGCAGTATTGTATTGTATAGCTGTGGTTATAATAATAATCTGTTTATGATGTATGCAGTGTGGTTTTGTGTCGTATTAGTTGAAATACTGTCTAGTCCACTCTGATCTGTTCCTGCCTTTTATATGTGTTAATATAAAACTACACAGTTATTAAGCAGAGTTATGTTACCTAAACGTTACATTTAGTACATTGTTTTGTTCTTCTCTATTCAACATGTACAATAATAAGTTTGGTTTATTATTTCTCTGTAACATTTACGTTCAGAACTAACTAAGAAAGAATCAAAGTTCATGAAAAACACAATTCCTGCACAACTTGTTAACATATAGTTCACACGTTACTATTACTCATCTGAATGTCACACTATTACATCATATATCATCTCATATTCCTATCTTAAGTCTCCTCTGTAGCATCTGAACATCTACTCATGGGTCTGCAGCTTCTCACCCTCTTGGCCTCCTTCAGTTGTTTCTGCAGCTCAGCCTGCTGCTCCTGCATCTTCGTCTTCCACTCCTGCAGCTGCTCCAGCTGGATCTTGTGCTTCTCCAGCTCCTTTAGCTTGGCCTTGTCCTCCGTCCGCTTCATCTTCAGTGTCTCCAGCTTCTCCTCCAGGTCCTTCACCTGAACACGCAGCGCCTCCTCCTCCTGTATGCAGGGTGATACCAAGGAGGAGGAGGAGGAGGAGTAGGAGGAGTAGGAGGAGGAGTAGGAGGGCGACAGAAGGATGAGATGATGAAATGGAGGACAGATGGGAGAAGATGGAGATATTTCATTAGTAATCACACATTTAAAGAGACAAAGGGGGCTTCAGTCCTCCTCCATTACTTCAGTTTTTCATTCTTTACTTTTTCTTTAATTGTTCCACTTTCATGATGTTTTAAGGAGTGGATCAGGTGAACAACAGCTTTCATCTTCTTATGTATTAGGAAGCTTTCATTTCACTTGCCATGCAGTGACCCCCCTGTGGAGTGGAGGAAGTCAGCATTGAGACACGAAGGACACACTTAATATACGTGCTTGTACACATCTCACACACACTACTTTAGTCCTGAAATAAAGACCTGCAGCCTGTGAACAGAGACGTCTCACACACAGCGATTACAGACTGGAGGTCACACCTTGGGCAGCTCGTTAACATGTTAGTGAGAGAAACAACACTTCAATATTAGGTGCAAAACATCTTCACATCACGCCACATGACTGCACCTGTGTTTCCATCATGACGTCCTCCTGAGGGGATAAAACATGAATCAGAACGACGATGTTCAGATCAAACACCAGACGGCAGCTGTTGAACTAAAGTACATGTTGCTTCTCTGTGTCAGCAGTGATTCCACCTGCACACAGTTCATGATCAACAAAGAGTTCACAGACAGTTAAGCAACTTCACGAGATCCCATTGACTAATGTTCGGTCATCTTAATCATCTTCATCAGCCGTGTGCTCCAGAGCTCATCTCTGAAACGGCTTCGTCTCATTGCTGAGAAGCAGCAGACTGAAAGTGAACTAATGATACGCAACCACTTCAGAACCAAAGCGTGAGACTGTTGTACACTGATGCTATCAGAGTAACAGTAGTGGTGTCTATTGATAGAATGATAGTTGAGCAGACTGAGTGCCCCTCAGAGATCCATCCTGGGCCCACTGCGTTCAGCTACAGATAAATAAAAGCATCACACCTGCAGACGACACCTCGCTGTGTAAACCTGAAACCTCTACAGTTCAGAGCATCCAGAGGACTGTTCAACACAATATCTGTTACTTTTTGCTGTTTTACCAAATATGTGATGAAGAAGGAACTCCACACACAAGACACCAGTACAACTACTAACCTCCAACTAACTCACTAACTAACTACTAACCTCTAACTCACTCACTCACTAACTAACTACTAACCTCTAACCCACTCACTAACTAACTACTAACCTCTAACTCACTCACTAACTAACTACTAACCTCTAACTAACCTCTAACTCACTCACTAACTACTAACCTCTAACTCACTCACTAACTAACTACTAACCTCTAACTAACCT